AAAATATCAACTATATAAAAGAAATTTGACAACGACAAAACTAAATGCACAATGAAAAATATATGAAAATAAGTATTTCTCAAATAGAGTCCGTATAAAATTAGTTATTATAATTGGAATTGAATTTATATAGAACTTTATATGTAAATAAAAAAAGCATGCTGATATAATTTTTTTTATTTAAAAAGTAAGTCTTTAGAATGTGCCACGTAACAAAGAGGAAAACACTAATTATATATATATATATATGATGTTGTGACTTCTTTAAAGCTTGAAATCTCAATCTATTTTTTTTTTTTTAATTTTAAAAAATATTAAATTACACATATCAATGAACTATTCGTTTGTGATGATACAATATGGTAGTATGGTAGTATGGTAGAATCATTGACATTTAAACTTAATATTCACTAATTAAAGATATTAAAAGCTTGTGAAACTATTAAGATAGTTAAGATATTCATTAGCAAAACACATACCATTGTTCCCTAAAACTTTTATATGTTGTAATGATATATATATCCTACTAATTCAACAATGTAACAATCCATAATGCAAATTAAAATTATTTATTAAATAATCATTCCATCACATGATATAATTGTTACACTTTTTTTTTTTAAATCAGCGAAGAAAAAATTCATTAACAACATGAAATTAAAAGTACATAAAGATGACGTGCATCGAGAGAGATTTGGAAAACTGTTACACTTAATATTCACTAATTAAGATATTAAATTTTTAGTCAAGTCTTTTAAGGAATGGAATGGTTTTAATTTAAGGATTAGTTTCATTGAAACTTTGTGCTTTGTTTTCTTTTTGTTTTGGGCTTGTTGACTGGTCCTTTAGATTTTTTTTTTTCCATGTAATGTTATATTGTTATTAATAAAATATCATTTTAAAATTAATAATGAAAGCTATAAAAATAAATAAATAAAACAATATCTAATTAGTGCATATTAATGTGTGTTGGGGATAGAAAAGATTAGGTACACACCTAACCTTTGGCATAATACACAAAGTGGTTGACTTGATACTTAAACCCATAACCTCAAGGTTATTAGGTTAACATTTTACTATTAACTCAATGATCACTCCTATGAAAATAAATAAATAAATAAATAAAATTGGAAAGGATAAAGAATTTGTTGTTCTTTTTAATTTTCCCTCAATAGCAAGCTGCAAAAAGAACCTACGACTTTGTAGTAATGTTACATGTAATCTTAATTTTATGTCATTTTCTGATTCTAGACACGAGGCAAATTCTATTTGTAGCATAATTTTTTACTAAAAAAAACTATATATTTTAATTTGATCAAATTCTTTAATAATTGATTATCAATTAATGTTATAAATTTAAAACTTTGATAATTTTTTAAGCTTTCAAATAATATAAAGTACAATTACTTTTGTATTAAGTTGGAGTTTAATTTTATCATTCTTCGTTAACATTATGAAGTTTGTTATAATTCATTACAGAAGATTCGAAATAATGCAACATTCATGCATTACTTCCAAACCAGGTGAGTTACTAAATGTTATGAGGAGACATTTCTAGCAAACTTATAGTGATTGATTTGATTTACATGGATAGGCCATAGTACTCACGGTATGCTTTAAATTGTTAAATTTTTTGAATTTTATTTTTTGGGTCACATGAAAAATTGACTTTTGAATTTTAAGAGCACAATTTGATTAGGGAACTTAATTATAGTACTATAGAATGGTTCATAAGACGATACATCTATTAATAAAGAGTTCACAAGCCAAAAAAAAAGTATAATTTAATCTAAACATCTTGTATAACCTTTATTATGTATAATTAGCAAAACAGAGGGGGAAAAATTGATAATTCTAAACGTATAAAATTTAATATGAAATCTAAAATAGTCTCTTTATTTGAAAAGGATATTAGTGATTGTAAATATGATAAAATATTAAATTTAATTTTTAAAATTCATTTTAATCACTCTGAGTTACGTCAACGTGTTAAGCAAAAAATTAAATTAAATTAATTTGCAAATTGCAATGTTATGGCTATATAGAAAATTAAGATTGATTTACTTACTAATATAATATTTTCATTGTTTAAAGCTAATTTCAACTAATCTATTTACAAATTGCAATGCTAGGGTTAACTTACTTCAAAATGATGTGTATGATACAAATTGCAATGCTGGGGTTTAATTTGTATGAAATCAAGATTCGAACACAACCTATGCATAACACATGTAGAAAACTAGTATATATATAACTAAATAGGAGTCTTTTTTTTAGGAAGTTTTAGAAATGTGCCATGAGTCACTTTTAACCTCTTAAAATTTTTGCCAAGTGTCAATCCTATAATTAAAAGAAGGGCTTTATATCTTTTAAGCCTTTCTTCATCCTCTTGCATTTTTTTTTCTCATCTCTTGCTCTTCTCTTCTATTTTTCTTATGATTTTTTTTTATTTCCTTTATAAATGCATTATTTTGTATCTATGTTTTTTTTAATTATTCCACTCTATAAATTTATGTTTATTAATTTTAATAATATGTAGAAGAAAATTGCGAATTTGAAATACTTTGCAAAAATATGATAAAGACAAAAAAAAAAAAGAAAAAGAGGATGGGGGGTGGAATTGCCAGTCTTGCTATACAAGTACATGAATAACCTTAACAAATAAATATAATCAAAAAAACTTCTTTACAAAATTATATTTTGTAACTCATTTTGTTTTTTGCTGGGATTTTGTAAGTAATTTTACGAGATACTACATTTTCTTTTGACTAATTTAAAAGTATTTTCTAATAAATATTCTTATGTTAGATTGTTTTCATTACTACTAAACAATAACTTAATAATAAGACATTCTTCTTAAATCAATATTATTGAAGTTTTATCTTATTTTAAATGGGATATTTTTGTTATATTTAAATTTATGAACTTTTTATGGCATCTAAAAGGTTCTTAATTGAAAATAATTTTTTTATTTATATTAAAATGATTTTAATTTATCAAATCTATCTTAAAATCACTATGAGTTAGAACAAATTATTGAATTCCACTCATAAAATACAATATTATGATTATTTTGGGAGCACAAAAAGTTGAATCACCTGCTAATAAAATATTTTATGTTTGACATATAATTTTTAAGGAAATTCAAAAAAAAAACAAAAAAAAACAAAAAAAACTTGATATGCTAAAAGGTATTGAATAATTTAAATTATTTATTTAAATATGTAAAGTATTAAAGTTGTAATTTATTTCATAATTTTTATTTGAGATAATAAAAAAGTGTAATTTAAACTATTTTTATAATTTTTATTTTTTGACATGTAATTTTTTTTATTTAAAGAAAAAATTAAAAGTACCTATATACTTCAACTACATATGCACTTAGTATCTACATTCATATTTATTATTTAAAAATATTTTTCTTTTTAAATATGAAAACATGATATTTAATTATAAATTTAAAAATTTTAAATAAAAACAATGCATAGTAAGAGTTGAAACTAGTTCACTTGTATTTATGTAACCATTTCTTTATTTCTTTATTTTTGTACATTGGATGCTGTGACATGGGAAGATGGGAGTTTGGCGATAATTATTGGGTGATCCCCTCATCTTGTGACTTTATTGACATCATGCTCTAACTAATGATGTAACAAAAAAAAATTTAGGGGTAGAATAACATTAATCTGGATAAATTATCAATAATTTATAGTAGTTAGATTTAATTTTCATCAAGTCCTATTGAAAATATATCTTAATAAAATTATCGCTAAAAATTTTTGTAATTTTTTTTGCATGTCGCTAAAAATTGACAATTAATGAATTTTTTGTCACAATTTTTATAAATTGTCTCTAAAACATACAAGTAGTGATGTTTTTCTGTGATGAATTTTTTAAACTGTCGCTAAAACTTATAATTAGTGATATTTTTTGTGACAATTTTTAAACTGTCACTAAAATTAATAATTAGTAACATTTTTTAATAATTTTTGATAAAAAAAGCCATTAATTATCATATAACCTATTGGATAATAAGTCTACCTATTAAGGCCTACACGTAAGTTTCCGTATTAACTATCCTTGTTATCTAGTTATGAGACAAAAAATGACACACTTAATTTGCATTGTAATTTTTTATTAGTCAAAAGTATTATATAAATAATGTCACATGATACTTTAAAATTTTTTGATAAATTTTCAAAATGTTATCAATAGTAAAACTTAAACCCTGGTGCATCAATAGTAGCCAACTCTACTAGCAGTAAATTTAGGATGACCACATTTTTATAGTTGAAAAATTTGTCACAAATCCGATCATGTAAATTTTTCTTATTTTTTTTCTTCTAATTTTATTCATAATGATATGACAGGTTACGTGTCGATTTGTGATTTGTCATAAATTCAACCTTGTCATATTATTGGGATTGTTTGTTGCAACTTATTTGAACTATTTATACTATTTATATAGCTTATTTTATTTGGAGTCTATGCTAAACTATTTAGTATAGTATCTGTTTACAGTTTATTAAATATAAATAATTTAAGTAAGTCGATTATTTGAGAGTTAGCTAAGGGAATGTTGTACTTTTTATTGTCTTAGTATCGATTTTTAATTTATAATAAGTTACACTAAACCTGTCATTATGATTGATTTATGAATTTTAAATTGTGAGTCTCTAACATATATTATTCTTTTTCTTTTTTTTGGGATGGTGGACAAATTATATCGGTAGTTCTTGTATTTGGCTATTGTATAATTTTGGTTCTTTTAATTTTAATTAGCTCGATTTTTACCCTTAATTTTAAATTTTTAAAGGAAAATTATTAATGAGCTGAACAAATTTATCATTTTCCTAATGAAAAGCATAACACATGCACTTATGTGCTCATTTTCCATTAAAAAATACTACTAATTGTAGTCATGAACTAAATTGTGACAAAATTATAAATTTATTATCAAAATTTAGTAAATTAAAAATATAGAGATCAAAACAACATAATGGTCAAAATATAGGTATTACTAATGTAATTTATTTTTATATTTTTGCTTCGAAAGTTCTATCATCAGCCTTTTAAGTCTGGAACACGTGAGGGAAGAGAGTCAAACGAAGCCATACCGAAGTCGGAGTTGGTTCGGGTACGATGCCCCATTCTCCAATTTTCCCATGGGAATTTAAGCTCTAGTGCTCACGACACCGCGGTATCCATGTCTTCGACTTTAAGAAATTCATTTGGAGAGATTCCGAGGCTTTCATGTGGTAATAACACTGGCCCTTCAGGAATGAGATCTGGCAACTGTGGAGGACAAACCTCCTTATCCTTGTTTGAACGTCCCCCCATTCCTTAAAATTACCAAGAAAAAATACCAAAAAATACTAACAAACTTGTAGTCAGTTGAACTAAAAATTGCGACTACAATTGAATTTTTGATGGAAAATTATTAATGAGTTGATCAAATTTACAATTTTACTTATAAAAACATGACACATGTCCGTACACTACAAGAAAAAGCGTTTTTGGCGACTAAAAATTCATTTTTTGTCGCTGAAAGTTGTATAATTGGTGACTAAAATGGATTTAGTCGCCAAAATTGAACCCTTTTGCCGACTAAAATAGTTTAGTCGCCGAATACCAGGCTTTTAGCGACTAAAAGGCAGTTTAGTCGCAGAATGTAGGGGTTTTAGCGACTAAAGGTTTTTTGGTAGCCAAAAGTGCCGGTTTTTGGCGACTAAAATAATTTAGTAGCCAAAAGTGATGGTTTTGGCGACTAAAAAACATTTTAGTCGCCGATTATAGGTGTTTTTCCAACTAAAAAAAGATTAGTCGCTGAAAATGAAGGTTTTTGTCTACAAAAAAAAAAATTAGTAGCTAAAAACAGTGAATTGGCGACTAAAATTCAGTTTAGTAGCCAAAAGGACACGTTTTTGGCGACTAAAAACAGATTTAGTCATTTGGCGACTAAAAACAGATTGAGGGGATTGATAGTGAGGGGATTAATAATGAGGGGATTGTTAGTGAGGGGATTGATAGTGAGGGGATTAGTAGTGAGGAATTGTTAAATTATTTTTATATAAAATAATAAAATAAATAAAAAAATATAAAAAATTAAAAATTATATTTTAAAAAAAATTTCCAATATATAAAAAATAAAAAAAATAAAAAAATTTCTAATCCCCTCACTATTTTTCTAATACCATCTCTACCTCCTCACTATGAATCCCCTCCCCAAGGGTATTAGTAATATCAGGTCATGTTTGTTTGGATGGACATGAGCTTGGGATTGGACTAATAGTCCAATAAAATTACTAATCCGATGTTTGATTAAATAATTGAAGTACGGACTAATTATTTTAAATTTGACTATTAGTTAAGATAGGATACATAATCCAACGAATTCGTAATCCTAAGACTATTAGTCATGGGAATGCTAATCCAGTCCGCCCAAACAAACATGGCCTCAAGGTATTAGTAATACCCTTCCTATCTCTCAAAACAAACAAGGTATTAGTTAGTCCCAAGGTATTAATAGTCCCAAGGCTATCTCTCAAAACAAATACCCCATATACTAATCTCAAGGTACTAGTAATCCTAATCCCCTTACTATAACCCAAAACAAACGGGCCCTAGAGAGATTCCGAGGCTTTCATGTGGTAATAACACTGGGAGTAATGCTATGGACACCAAATTTTCTACCAAACAAATGACCAAATGTGTCACATGGGTGTGGGGTCCGCAATTTTGTATGCCCCACACCCATGTGAGACATTTAGTCATTTATTTGGAAGAAAATTTGAGACCTCTAGCATTTTCCTAACACTGGTCCTTCAGGCATGAGATCCGGCAACTGTGAGGACAAACCTCCTTAATATCCTTTGTTTTAGCCTCCCCCCATTCCTTAAAATTACCAAGAAAAAATACCAAAAAATACTAACAACATTGTAGTCAGTTGAACTAATTGTGACTACAATTGAATTTTTGAAGGAAAATTATTAATGAATTAATTAAATTTATAATTTTACTTATGAAAACATGACACGTGTCCATATTTGTAGTGACGACTCTAGAAATTTTATAGATGGGTCATCTTACAAGCTTAAAAACTACAAATTCTAAATAAAACAAAAAAATTATACTAAATAACATTCACTCTGTTTGGTTTTGAATTTTTAAAAATAATTTTTGAGATTTTTTATTTTTTATTTTTTGCGTTTTATTGTCTTTTAGTGAATTTTTTTTAATAATATTTTAGTCATTTTTTAAGATGCACCTACAAAGTAAAATATTTGTGAAAATGTACTAAATTTTTAAATTTTTTACATTTAGTAATTTTTTTAAAATAAAAATTTCACAAATGTCTTGTTTTTAAAATGTATATAGATTAAATGAATCTAAAATAAAAAATAAAAAAAAAACTTAAGACATTTAAAAACTTTACCAAAGACAAAAGAAACACATAAAACATAAAATTCAAAATATATTTGAAAACTGTTAACCAAACTCTTGTGTCATTTTAAGTTTCGTTTGGGAAGTGTGTTGACTTTTCAATTTTTTTGATTATTTTAGCCTGAGGTTAAAAAGCCTGGTTTGGAAAAGGCTTTTGGCTCTTTTGACTTTTTTGTGAGAGAAAAAATATAATGATTATAGATTGGATGTGATGTTTTGTCTTATTGGACTAAAAAACATATTTTGTTTTTTGTGGCTATTTTAGCAAAAAAAAAAGCCTTAAAAACCACTTTCCAAACATAGGCTATAATTTCAATTGACCCAATTTTGATTTTAAATTTTTTATTTGGTCTCAAATTAATCCAATTGATTCCAATTGTTAGTATTTTTTATGAAAAATATGTACATAAATAGCACGTGTCATGTTTTTAGGGATAAAATTATAAATTTGATCAATTCATAACTTAACCTAAACTAACTTAGTGATCGCTTTTCGTCAAAAATCCTAACGGTATTATTAATTGGATCAAATTGAGATAAAATTTAAAATTAAGAATTAAAATTGAATCAATTAAAATTATAAAAATTAAAATGATACAAATAACCAAATATAAGAACTACTTATATAATTTACTTATTAAACTTTTCAAACAATAATAAATCACTAATGGGTGTATATTTAGTGGGATCCTTTAAATCTTCACAAGAATCAAACTACACTAAATAAAATATTAATAATATAAATAAAATTTTCTTTTAGAGTTTTTGTTTGGTTGATGGGCACTGGGGACCCATCAGCAACATGTGCCGTCGCCCCTGTTTACGTGCTCATTTCTCATTAAAAAGAAATATAATTATGATACATTCTTTTAAAATTAGAACCCTAATTGAATTCTAGTGATGTGAAAAAAAAATACAAGATCAAAATATTACATCAGATGAGACACACACACACATTAAAACTATTAGAGCTCTTTTCTAGAGCTTTCAAATATTTTCCAAAAACATATTAATGATTGTAGTCAGTTGAATTAAATTATGATAAAATTATAAATTTAATGTCAAAATTTAATTAATAAAATTATAAGAATCAAAACGATATAATAGTCAAAATTTAAGGATTATTGGTATAATTTATTTTTGTATTTTTATTTTCAAAGTTCTATCATTAGCTATGAAGCACGGGTACTAGTATGAGTACTGATACTGGTACGATACGGGTACGTCGATACGGTAAAATTCAAAAAAAGTAAGATACGGGTACAGCTTTGGTACATTTATAAAAAAAATATTTATTTTTAATTTGGGGTAATGTAAAAATTAATTAAATGAATTAATTTGTTAAGATCCAACCTACAATTAACATTTAATACCAAAAGTAAAGGTATAAATCAAAATTAAATGTTATTATATTAAATAACTTACAAATCATATCTTAATTTTAAAATCATACTAGACATAAAATTAAAAATAAAAAAAAAAATTTAGTGAAATGAATTTTACCTCTATAGTTTAAGAAAATATTATTTCGACTGAAATATAATACGGTTTGGATATATACTACGTACGTCTGAATATATTAAAAATTAAGAAGAAAAAAATTTAAATACGTATTTTGTGTATTCGATATATATATAAAAATACTATATGAGATACTATATATTGATAAATATTCGATACAGCATGATATATTTGTTGAAATATCCATGTCCATAAATCATCAGCCTTTTAAGACAGGAACGCGAGAGAGAGTTAAACAGAGCCATACCTAAGTTGGAGATGGTTATGGTATGATCTGCCATGCTCCAATTTTCGCTCGATATTCCAAGCTCACATCCACATGTTACTATTGGTGGTTCTTCCATGGACGGATCTATGATTTCGACTTTGAAGGGACAAAAACACATTTACAACCGAAAAAAAAAAAAATACTATATAATTTTAAATTTTGATTTATATTAGCATAAAAAATGAATAATATTATTATTAATTAGATATTCTTTGTCAACATAATTGAGAATACAAATATAATTTGACATATTTTTTTATATGCATTAACTTAACAAAATATTAATTATTATTTTTATGTCTATGTCTACTAAAGTTAACTATTTAAAAATACAGTAACAGTTACTTTTTATAATATATATTAAAATATTTATGATAAGTTTGACATTAAAGCCTTAATTAATATATTTCTCTATAAATATGGTAAAAACAATTTGTTACAAAATTATCTTCTATCTTATTAAGTAGTTTAGTTTTAAAAGAAAAATTATAATTGAAAATATTTGTTTTTATAAGTATAACGATAATCTGTATTAGTAAATTGTATTAAATTTAATGAATTTATTTTAAGAATGCTATGCTGAAATAGATAATATTTTTATTTTTAGACAATATTTTTATTTTTAGAGAATGAACAAACAAAAATAAATGCAAAATAAGATGCATAAGTAAATTAAAATGTGATTTATAAAAGAGGAGAAAAAAAAACATAAATGACATATGAACAAAAAAAAAAAAGAATAATGACAAATAAAAAAATATAAGTAATTCTAAACAATATAGAAATATAACAAATAATATAGATACAAATAGAATAGATCAATAAAATTCAATTTAAAAATTATTTTTAAATTTTATAATATAAATAATTTGGAGGGTGTAAATTATTGAAATTTTAGAAGTGCAAAGACTCTATTTTAAAATTATCTTATTAATTACTAATATAATATACATAATTTTTAAAAATTTTGGGGGTGCGGCCGCCCTTGCCCACAACCTCTTAGATCCGTTCTTGGTCTAAACTAACTCGATTCGAACTTGGTTTATTAAATTTTTATTGAATTCGAGCTCGAATTCTCTAAAATCTTAATAAACAAATTCAAATATGCTAAAACTCACTTCATCTTGACTCCTTTGCAACCCTGATTCCAAACTTCTTTCTTAGTAAAAACAATCGGATATGTGTTTGTTTAGTGCGTATACACTTTTTGATATAAGGTATATTCAGAATAAATTTATGGTATATTCAGAATAAATTTATGTGAAGTGAACAAATTATAATTATTTTAATGTTTGAATTAAAAGGATATGCATGAATAGAAATAAGTGTGTGAAAATAAATTCAATTCAAAACTTTTTTTTAAAATTAATAATCAAACTTTTTTCAAAATTCTATTAAAAAAAAATTCAATTTTTTTTTAATTTTCTTTTTAAAATTTTTTTCAAAAAATATTTTGTTTATTTTTATTTTTGAAGACAAATATTTTTTATTTTTTATTTTTTCAAAAAAAATATTTTGTTATTTTTTTAAATATTGGTCAAATAATTTGTTATGATTTAAATATATGTGGTGA